GGCTTTCATGGGGTTGCGGAAGGGCCCATAAGGGTTAGGGCTTGGGGTTTCCCTAAACCCTAAACCCCAAACCCCAAACCCTAAACCCCAAACCCCAAACCCTAAACCCTAAGCCCTAAACCGTTTAGGGTTTAGGCTTTAGGCTTTAGGGTTTAGGGCTTTAGGGTTTAGGGTTCAGGGTTTAGGGTTTAGGGTTTCGGGTTCAGGGTTTAGGGTTGCAGCAACATCACAACCCCAAGCTCCCCGGCCCTGAACTCTGAGCACTGTTCAAAGAAGCCTACCTTGACTCACGAGAACCTAATTTTTTGTAGGGTCCCTATAAATCCCATATTACAGGGTTTACAATAAGAACCTCCAAAAAGCGGGTTTTGGTAGGTTAAGGTATGTATAGGATAGAAAACTCGGGGCCAAGGCAGCAGTGGTGCAGTCTCCGTCTGCCTATGCCGAAGTTCGGATCTTCAGAATCAGAATATCTCTGCGCAGTGGTGACAGCCGCCAAGGTGGCCATGAATTCAGCGTCGCGGCTGCCCTGGGCAGCAGGCCTGGATCCAGTTTCGGTGGTAAAAAACATCCTTATCGTGGGCTCCTGTTTTAAAACCTTAAGAAACCCTACAACATCTCTATACCCCAAAGCCCATAAAAATTAAAATCCTAAACCAAACCACCAAATGAAAAAAGGGATCTCCAAGATCGACCAAGAGGCCGCCTGTACATCTACCAAGTGCCATGGACTTGAGAAGTCAAGCAGCGGCGAGTTTCGGATAAGAGCGCCCTAATTTATGTACTACCGTTTCAGTTTAGGGTTTAGGAAAGTTTAGGGTATGGGGCTTGGCATTACTACCCCTGCACGTTATGCATAGGCTCTCTTTACAAGAGTCCAGCACGGGAAGCCAAGTGCCCGACCTCCCCAGAAGCATCCGACATTGAAACGTATCCATTCACCATAACCCTAAACTCAAAGAACCCTAAGGGTCCATGTACCCAAATACTGTATACCTTGGCCCCGAAGTACCCATATAGGGATTACTTTCAGGCCAAAGTATAATATTAGTTGGGCACATGGACCCTTAGGGCAATCTCAACTCCGGGTTTGGGCAGCAAACTCTATCTTGAGCAGACAGGAGTGTTGAGCATTACCTTACCCTAAGGGTCCAAGTAGTTCTTATATATGGTTTTTGGTACCCCAACAAGGCCCTAAAGACCCACAATAAGGAGTACTTGGACCCTTAGTGTTAAGAACCCAAAACGATGAAACTCGATCCTGTACCCTAGAGCGTTTACTAAAGTCTACTCGCCCTGCGCCATGAGCTGTCCCCTAAACTTGGCCCTGAAACCGAAGCCCTAAACCCGAAATCCTCAATGAGGAACCCAAAACCTGAGCTTCCAATCTCGGACGGGGGGATGCTCATGGCAATGCCTTGCACTAGATATTCACATGCGACGCTTGTTCCTGCTCTTTGTGGAAGTTTATCCAAGTAGCAGCAACCGCAACTACAGGGCCAGCTAGATCCAGTGAGAAAGACGGTTTGGCGAAACTACTGGGACGAGCACAGCACCCTTGCTCTAGACGGCCGCCGCCGACTTATCAGCAACAACGGTACAGAACACAAACACTCAAGAGCTCTCAGTGTAAGACCTGGGTCCTCGCTGCTCATGCCTACGGACAGACATGCGGCGTTTAACGAAGAACTCTTGCCGAGGCAGCAGCATTCCCTGCAATGAAGCACATGATGGTGTTGGTGAAAACCTGCAACGCGATCTCTCCAAAAAATGGAGCGGAAGCTCTGCGTGGCGTGTAGACGAGAGAAAGATTGGCTTTAGGTGGGGGCTGTTTGAACTATACACCGGATGCGCATAGTCAGAATTTTTACCAACCAAAGGCGCGCTCCAATGCAGCAAAAGGGTGTTTCGAATGCTCTGGCATTTCAAGAAGGACCCTGAGGCATATGCACTTGCCAAACAAGGCATCCAGCGGAATGGAATCAAGCAAAAGCACGCAAACACGCACACACACACACACACACCTACACACACACACAGCAACAAACGCGGGCGCGCGCGCGCTCACGCACACACAAAAAACTTATTGCACTGGCTTCTCTAACTTAACCTTACATCCAGAGCAGAGACAGGACCGCATGACACCATTCCGAGGGCATTCTAAAACAGCCTCATGGACTTTATGTGTGTGCCTAAGTAGTCTTGTTTTTGTTGTAGATTTGCTTATCTATTTGCTTGTTTGGAATGCTTATAAACATATTATTGGGAAAATGTCGGGAATCTGCAACGGTCCTCGTTCGTAGCAATGGCAAGGAGCACCCGCACCTGGTGTAGCATTGGTGTCTTTCAAACAGGCGTTGGGGTTCCGGCAGACGTTTTGCGATGCGGCATTGCATGGATGTCGCAAATTATTGTGGCTTCTTTTTTCTCGGTGTTGTAGTCTAGTGTTTGTAGGATCACGAGAATTAGTACTCGTGACCAGCGATACATGCAATTGGGGGGGAGGGGGGTGGTACTTACAGGTTTTAGTGAGCCTTGATGGGAAAACTATCTAATTCCAGGTCTCAGAGTACAAAGCCACAGCAGTACTCCGAAGTTACAAGCTACTCAAACATTCGCGAATATGAAGAGTCCCAGGAGTCCGTGAACCCAAAGCCCAAAACCCAAAACCCTATAACCCATAACCCTAAACCCTATAACCTAAACCCTAAAGCCTATAACCTAAACCCTATAACCCATTACCCATAACCCTAAACCCTCTAACCCTAAACCCTAAACCCTCTAACCACC